TTGACTATGAAACTGGAATGAGGATGGCTGCCAAATAACCACCAGAAAGCAAGAGGACCCTTGGAGGTGATGGAGAGAAGTCAGAGCAAGAAGCAGACTCCAGAGCCGTGGAATTCAAGATGGCTTCCTGGAGAAAGTAGTGATTCTATGTCTAACTTGCTGCGCTCTGTCTGGCACTGGTTCATGACAACATGGAAGAAAAATAGGTTAGACACTGTGTTCTGATCAGAGACATGGCCCTGAATCCCACAGACCTGCCTGCTAACTTCTCCTAATATACCAGCTTTCTGACTGGCCCTGTCAGCCTCAGTTTCCTACCATGAAACAGGAATGAAAGTGAAGACCAGGCTGGGTGTGGCTAAGAAATGAATGGAGTGATCCATGGAGACCTGCACACAGTAGGCACCACTTAGCATTAATTCGCCATTTCCTACCCGGTACCTGTGTTCCTGGCCTGCCTCGCTCCTCCATCCCCACAGGCAAATGTGCACAATGTTTGTTTTCTATTTGGGGGAGGGAGTTGTTTTGTTTGGCAGAGAATTGAATTCAGGACCTTGCCCTACCACTTGAGAAATGCCTCTTACCCTTTTCTTGAATGGATTTTTAAATGGGTTCTTTCAAGGCAAAGTCTCCCATTATGGACTGTGATCCTTCAATTTGTGCATCCGATGACAGGCGCACACCAATGCACACCAATGCACCCAGCCATTGTACTTCCCTCAGAGCTAGGATCACGAGCATGAGCCACCATGCTCAGCTAACACAGTGCTCGTATTCTTAAGGGGTATCTTCTCTCTAGTGCCTTACACACTCATACCTTTGCTTTCTGAGCTCCTTTTCCTTCCTGTTAACCTGTCAAGAGCCAACACTCAAAGGGTATGTGCCAGGCTCTTGGTACCATCGCATTCACTGCAGGCCTCTCTCTGTAAATGAAAGTGGGACGTGGAGAGATTACATGACCTGCCCATGGCAACCACAGGGAGAGCTGCAAGTCAACCCCACTGCACCACCTCACACATCTCTGCTTTGTCAGAACCAGACAGATATGATTCATAAGGAAGTAACCATCCCTGAGCACTGTGAGGCAAAGCTCAATTTGCACCAAGGACAGACAAAGAGCTAAACTTCCAGTGGTGGAAGAGAGACCCCACAGGGTATATCCCAGTGATGTCCCAAGGGCTCCAGGGCATCTACGTGGGTCACAAAGTGGGATGGCCTGGCCATTGTCATAGCAATCTGTACACAGGTTCCTTGGGAATTGCCCCAGACCTAGCCCCAGTAAAAGGAGCAATAAGGGAGAATTTAGGCTGGGACCAACACTGGCAAAGGTCTCAGTCACATCCATTGGGAGCCCTGCAGCTGGGATGGTCTTAAGGAATTGTCTCACGAAGGGGCTGGGGGACTGTAACCTTGGGACTTCCCTGTAAACCTGTTTTGCAGTGTGGGCTGCTCTTAGGAGGGGCAGTCCTGCAAAGGAGGGCTCAGCAGTGAACCGTCAGCAGGTCACACCCTCAGGAGTGCCTCAGGCCTACAAGGGATCTGTGCATCCCAGAATCCACCTCCACTCAGGCCTGAGGACTGCTTTGATGCATCGTAGAGGTGCCCAGGCCTAAAGTCCTGCTGCTCCAATCCAGCCCTGACCACTGCAATTCCCCTAGTTTTGCCCGACTCACAAGCTGGACCACAATGCCAACTCTTTTACTGATAGGCCCTGATTTTCAGCACTTAAGCCACTCGACACTGGCAACCCCACACTCACCCAGAGGAGCGCAATGCCTCTCCAGATTGCAATCATCTCATGAAAGGAGGTTTGTAAACATGAAATTGCAGAAATGAATGTCTCTCACTGACTGTAGTTCCCAGCCAGTCTGCCCAAACAACCATCACTGCTGCTCAGCCAACACCATGCCTGCTGCTATCCAGTGTGCAAGAAAACAGAGCATGCTCCTTGCCTTCAGGGACCTGTGCCTGAGCAGCCTGACACCTCTGAGCATCCACTGCCACCTGACAGTCTGGGCATGAAATCTCTGCCCTGAGAAGAAAAGGTTGGCAGGCCCAGTGGTCTCAGGCCTCCACGGAGTAGAAAGCCTCTCCTGGCAGAGTTATGCCTGAATGCAGTGGTTCTAAGCCTGAGCTCTTCCTACTAGCTACTTCAGAGGTTGTTGAGGTACACTTTTATCTAAGTGGAAAGGAGGCTGAGGTGTGGAGCTGGGACTGACCCCATGACCTTCTCTAAGCCTTTGCTCATATGTCACCCCTCCCACACAGCTGAACAGACCAGTCTATGTCACACTACCCAGTCCACAGCACTTTGGAAATTTCAACAGCTTTTACCTTGCTGGGAGCTTTTTTTTTCCCCTCCATGGTCTGTATCACCTAATCATATGCATCATTTTTTATTTATCACATGCGTTTATCTGTCATCCATTTGCTAAAAATAGGAACTTCCCCCCAAACAGGGAGCTTGTTCATTTTCTGCACTGCTGCATCCCAAGTCCTTAGGATGATGGCTGAGCACAGTGAATCCTCAATACACCAATGAATGAATAAATAGCAGCTAATATTAGTTGAGCACTTACTAAGTGCTTACTAAGGACAGGGCCAGCCACCAGCCATTTATGCTACTGCTCAGTCAGTCAAGTGTGTCCTCAGCCAGGTCCTGTGATGAGAGGAAGCCCTAAAGCCAAGCCACAGGGATCGATAATTACAGACAGCCTCAAGGCCAAAATCCCAGTGTCTGCCTACTCTTTTTTTAATAAATACATTCATTTATTTTTATTATCTATGGCTGCTTTGGGGCCACAGTGTGGAGCTGAGTTGTTTTGACCAAGATTATAGAGCCCACAAAGCCAAAAATATTTACTCTCTGGCCCTATGAAAGTAGCTAAGCCTTGATCCAGGACCTCCATGAGTTAGAATGAGGTCAGGTCTCCTCTGTTTATCTACAACTGTATGTTATGTATCACCCTTGGAAGAATGTCATTTTTGTTGTTTTTCTGTGGTCCACGTGAGGAATCCTATTTGAGAAAGACAGAAAGAGACAGGTAAAGAAACAAACAGGGGGAGAAAAAACTAGGTTAGGTGCTGACTGGGAGAAAAGCAGACAAGATACTTCAGAGCTCATAGAAAAAATTTTATGCCTAATTTGAAAGACACCTGAAGGCTTTCTGGAGAAAGGGACCGCTAAGATTATTATCATTATTATTGTTATCATGATGACTGCTGCCCCAAAACAAGCTATTTGAAAAACATGTAACTATATAAACTAATTGAGACATTTTTCTTAAAGAGGTAGATATTAATCAATACCATAAATCTAAATAACATGGCCAAAGGCCAATAATATGTACCTGAATATATAGGAGCCCCTGGTTGTATGGCAGACACTGTGAAACACAAAGCTAGCTTACCAATTGATGTCAACATCTAAAGAACCTCAACCTACCCAAATACTATATGGTGATCAGTCTGACAGTGGCATCCAGAGCTCACTGATAGAAAAACTCAAGCTCCTAGGACACATCTGTCTTCAGAGTTTCCATGCACAGATTTTTGGCTACGTGGAGAAGCCCAGAGACCTTCTATTCTCTCCTCCCTTCTAATGACAGTCTGTCACAGGTAAAACTCTAATCCATTTCATTTACACTGACATTCGACTGACTGTATTTTGAACTAGTCATAACAAGGTTTAAGCTCCGGGAAAGCCTGACTGAGGATGGAATTTCAAGGACTCTGACAGACTGTGGGAAAGGCATCCATGCCGAGTGGGAGGTCATCCCCACAGTCTAATTTGCATCAAGAGATGACAGCCTTCAGCAATAAAAATCCAGTAGTTCAAATGACCCTTGATTTTCAGGTTTAGATGTCCCACTCAGTAATGATATACACATGACCAGGACACTTTAGTGTCTCTGAATCTCTTTCTTCACATCTCTCAAATGAATGGAAGAATTAAAGAAGAAAACTTAACTTCTCTGTTTCCAGAAGAGACGCAAGAAAGAAAAATTCTAGGCAAATATTTATTACTTTTATATGATTTCGTCTCTGTACCACTCTGGAGTATCTCTCCCAGGCTATAATTTACACATGGAGACTGTATGGGCCATAGAACTGATGGCCCTAAAACACTGATAGGCAAACCAAGGAAATGAGGCAGCTCTTTCTAAGTGAAAGGCAGGCAGTCTTTTCCATAAGGTCTTACACAAGTGGAAAACATCAGGTATCAATAAGATAGAGATCATCCCACCACCCTCCTTCCAGCCAGGCTTCACTCACCTAACACTACAAGTAAAACAAGGGGCTTGGAATGGAGACTCCTTCCAAGTTAAGATATTCTAAAGCCTAGGACAAAGATAGAAAGATGAACTGCTCTGTGGGCATCACCACTGTAATACAAAAGGATTTCCAACAACACTCACCACCATCAAAGGAAGCAACATACAGGAGGACTGAAGTGAAAGTGTGGGGGCCATGAGGGGAGGTGCTGCTCGGGAAGGGGTGGTTAACCACAAATGTTACTGCTATATTGCTATTTTGGGGATTGCCAGTCCAATCTTCCAGGAAAGTTTCTGCTCCTGCAGGTATCAAGAAGGCAATTTGGGGGTCTTTAAAAAAAAATCTGCCAGGCACAGTAACTCATGCCTGTAATCTTAGTTACTTGTGGAGATCAGGAGGATCATGACTTGAAGCCAGCTCAGGCAAAAATAAGTTAGCAAGGCCCTGTCATCTCAAACAACACAAGCCAAGTATGGTGGCGATGCTAGCTACTCAGGAGATAAAGGAAGGAGAACCACAGTCCAACACAAGCCTTGTACAAAAGCAAAAAAGGGTTGAGGGGAAGGGGCGCTCCAAAATAGCAAATAGCAAGTGTGGGGCCCTCAGTTGAAACCCCAGTACTACATAAAGGAAAAAAATATCACTTACAATCAAGAGAAAGACATTCCTGCTCATCCTAACTCTGGTCCTTCTCCTTGGAGCCAAAATGGACAGTATCACAGTACCTTCATCTTATAGTCCAGCTTCTTACCCATCATGCTACTCCCTTTGTGGAACACAAAGGATTTCTGAAGCAATCTGAAGTCATTCTTTAAAACAACACATTTAACAGAGAGCAAGAGCTGATGGGTGTTTAGATAATACACCACCTCTATCAGCTTAGTTTAAACCAGTGAGGGCTTCGACTGTCTTCCTGTTTTCCCAGAGTTCTGGTTCAGTTCAGAAACACATGCCCCAAACCAGGAGCCAGGAAGCAGAGGTCAATGGAGTGGCAAGACGCCAGTGTCATCAGGGCTCCAATGACAGCCAGCACATGTGGGTGAATGACAGATGTTGCACACAAGCATGGTCACATCCTCTAAGCTACCTAGAATGCCTCTTCCTCAACCAAATCCTCTTTATCTATCATCCACTGGGAACACAGCACACACTGGGGACCCCACATCCGCTCGGGCATTGGGGGAATCACACAGATAGCTTGCTTCCTGTCCTCAACATGTATCTCCTGCTCATGAAGCCCTTCCAGAGGATTTCACCATCTCTCCCATCACCTTGTATTTGGCTCATGCTGGATAAATAGCTAGCCTAAATAGACATCATTCTCATATGCACAGAACTTTCTTCCCAGAAGACTGCACCATTTGCCTAATAAAGATTCTATCCAGTCAGAAGAAATTCATTTCACCTTGTGCAGATAAGGGTCTGTACAATGACATGCATCCGGTGTTCATCTTTACTTAGAAAACTTGATCAGCATATGGCAGGTCTATTAATAAGAACTCTCAAGCCAGACACTGGTGTCACATGCCTGTAATCCGAGCTATTCAGGAGGCTGAAAACTGGAGGATCAGAGTTTAAAAAAAAAAATCTAAAAATAAATACAGCTTGACAATAGCAAGTCTTCACATGCACTCTTAATCCTGTTTGCTATAAGAAAAGAGAACCCTAAAAGGTTAAGAGGCTTCGCCTAAGGTCATACTGCCAGGAAGTAGCACAATCGGGCAAGGAATCCAATTCTAACGGCTTTTGCAACCCCTACAGCCACCCTATGAGGGTCTCTGACACCTAGGCAAACAAGAGCGAGGATGAACAAGGTACCAGTCTCAGAGGCCCAGGCTCCCAGGACAAATCTGAAACCTTAAGTCAGCAACTATGTGTGTCGCAGAGGGGTTCTGTACAGTTGGTCTACAAGGTCAAAATTATCCTATTAATACTAACTGCTCTTTTGGTACCACTGGAATTGGAACTCAGGACTTCAACTTTGCAGACAGTTTCTTCTAGCCCTTTCGCGCTAGCTTTTTTTTTTTTTTTTTTTTTTTTTGTCGGTTGTGAGGCCTGAACTCTGGGCCTGGCACTATCCCTCAGCTCTTCAGCTCAAGGCTAGCGCTCTACCACTTGAGCCACAGTGCCCCACTTCCTGCTTTTTCTGCGTATGTGGTGCTGAGCAATCGAACCCAGGGCCTCATGCATGCACGGCAAGCACTCTACCACTGAGCCACCTTCCCAGCCCCCTCGTGCTAGAATTTTTGAGATAGGGTCTAGGCCATCTTGGACTGAGAACTTCCTATTTATGCTTCCTACCATAGCTGAATGGAGGCATGCACTTCTGCACCCAGCTTTTTTGGTTGTGAAGAGGGTCATGAACAATTTTGCCCAGGCCAGCTGGTTGAACTGGAATCTTTCTAATCTCCACTCTCAAAGTAACTGGGACTACAGGCATGAGCCACTGAGCCTCACATACTAAGAATTTTCTTGACTCTTCCACTCTCAGAAGCAGCCAGAGACTACATGACAGCTTAACACACTGAAAGCAGAAGACAATCTATCTATCCAACTGACTACTACTATACCAAACATGGTGTCGATTTGTAAAAACATAAAACAATGCCATGCTTCTAGACTTTTATTTTGGAAAACATAGTTAAATTTCCTGGAAATATGTGTTAGCATGTAATGGGTTTATATATAGATAGATAGATATATACATATATATTTGTGTGTATGTATGTACATATGTATATGTGTGCCAGTGTTGAACTGGAGGCCTGGGTGCTGTCCCTGAGTTTTTTTTGCTCAAGGCTAGTGCTCTACCACTTCAGCCACAGTTCTACTTTGGCCTTTTGGGTGGTTAATGGAGATAAGAGACTCATATACATACTTTCCTGTCTCCAACTGGCTTCAAACCACAATCCTCAGATCTCAGCCTCCTGAGAAGGTAGGACTATAGGCATGAGCCACAGGTACCTGGTGGGTTTGTTTTATTAACTTCTACATGTCTTCCTTATTAAAATATATTACTATATGTAGTAAGAGCTATGCCGTGAATGTTGCATATTCTTATAATATGCACTTGGATCATAATCACTTCTTTTATTATTCTTTCTTATTCTCTCCCCTCATCCAATTAATACTAAAATGTATCTGTTTTCATTTTGATATGTAAATGTTGACAAATGGGGGCCACAAAAGCACTGGAGTCTTCAATAATCTTAAAATATTGATATTTAAAGAATTTAAATTCTTTGCCAGGTGCTGGTGGCTCATGCCTGTAATCCTAGCTACTCAGGAGGCTGAGATCTGAGGATCAAGGTTCAAAGCCAACCCAGGCAGGAAACTCCGTGAGACTCTTATCTCCAATATGCCATTCTGAAAATCAGAAGTGGTGCTATGACTCAAGTGGTAGAGCACTAGCCTTGAGCTGAAGAGCTGAGGGACAGCACCCAGGCCCAGAGTTCAAGCCCCATGACTGACCAAAAAAAAAAAAAAAAAAGAATTTAAGTTCTGATCTTAACACTCAAAAGTTTAAGGACCAGTTGATGAGAAAGGTGTTCACATTCATCTGTGTTTCTGGAGAAACTCAATGGGAGCTTTCTGCTGCTTTTTGTCCAATGGACTCTCTCTATCACCAAGAGTATGCTTCAAGATCTACCAAAGCTTCTGGCAGAACAACCCTTGCCCAGCCCCATCCTCTGAGCTCCCTGACAGTGCTAAGTCCACCAGCACCCAGCATGGATGTGTGCACCACTTGGCAACATCCACTGCACTATAGTCTGTGGATACATAACCTCTGCTGTTATCTGCATCTCCGTGGAGATGCCATGCTTCCCCAAGGCAATTCTGCAGCCTGAACAAAGCGTCTGAATACAGCTCTGCCTCTTGACCAGGGGGCGACCTTAGGCAAGTTACACAGCCTCAGTTTCCTTGTTTCTAAAAGGCAGAGTAGACAGACTTCCTGTGCAAACCACATAATTACCTGCTCTTTCAACCCCACCTAGCTCAGGATTGTTCTGGAAACTGTGATAATCCTGAGCACCAAGAAGCATCAAGGAGGTTCACAGTCTTCTTCCCAATGGCCCAGCCAAGACAGACAGGATGACCTCAACTCACCTGCCTGAAGGACTAGCTGATGAATGGAGGACAATGAATCAATACAGCCAGTCTGGGTCGCACCAGAGGTGTCAGTGCCATCCCAGGGGGACATTTAGAAAGGAGTGGGGGACTGGGCCCCAGTGGCTCACGCCTGTAATCCTAGCTACTCAGGAGGCTGAGATCTGAGGATCACAGTTCAAAGCCAGTCTGGGCAAGAAAGTCCATGAGACTCTTATCTCCAATAAACTACTAGAAAACCAGAAGTGACACTGTGGCTCAAGCAGTAGAGCACTCGCCTTGAGCTGAAATGCTGAGGGATAGTGCCCAAGCCCCAGAGTTCAAGCTCCATGACCAACAACAACAACAAAAAAAACAAACAAATGAAAAAAAAGAGGATTGCGGGCAAAGAGGCCTACTGGTTTTCAGTGACCAGGAATTATGTATGATGATGGGCAGGATATATAGCTCAGTGTGAAAGCACTTGATTAGCATGTGCAAGGTCCTAAGTTTGATCTTCAGCTTTGCCAGTAATCGCTACTATGAGAGAGAGAGAGAGAGAGAGAGAGAGAGAGAGAGAGAGAGGCCGTGTACTGGTTGCTCATGCCTATAATCCTAGCTACTCAGGAGGATGAGATCTGAGGATTGTGGTTTGAAGCCAACCAGGGCAGTAAAGTCCATGAGACTCATGTCCAATTAAGCAATCAAAAGGTGGAAATGGAGTTCAAGTGGTAGAATGTCAGTCTTGAGCAAAAAAGCTAAGGGTCAGCACTCAGACTCTGAGTTCAAGTACCAGTACTGACACAAAGAAGGAAGGAGAGGGAAGAGAGGAGGGGGAAAGGGAGGGGAGATGAGAGAGAAAGAGAAAGAGAAAGAGAGAAGGAAGGAAGGAAGGAAGGAATCTTGGAATTTAAAATACAGCAGCATACCTAAGACTTCATCTGTTCA